CGTGAGGGGGGGGGGGAGTTGTGTTGACGGTGTTGCTTGACATCGCCAACGCCTTCAACTCCCTCCCTTGGGACCAGGTGGAGGCGGGCTTGGCCCATTTCCAGGTCGCCCCCCCACCTCTGGTCTCTATAATCAGGAACTACTTCCGAGGTAGAAGACTGGAGTTCCGTAACAAGGCGGAACTCCAGTGCGGAAGGGCGGTTTACCGCGGTGTTCCGCAGGAGTCCGTGCTAGGATTCCTATTATAACCAAACCCTCTTCCCTGGTTGCACCGTCGTCTGCTACGCAGACGACACCTTGGTGCTGGCCGGGGGCAGGGGCTGGCGGGACGCTCTGGAGATGGACCGTCTGGCGGTGGACCAGGTGGTAAACTCCTTAAAAAGGATGGGCCTCAAGGTGACTCCCCAGAAAACCGAAATCATGTTTATGCATGATGGGTCTAGGATGGAGTCGCCTAGAGCTCAAGGCCGGATAGATAATGTCTCCGTGAAGACGGGTCCCACACTGAAGTATCTGGGACTCGTCTTGGATGGCACATGGGGGTTTCAGAACTATTTTGAGCTTCTGGCCCCCAAGTTGGGCAGGGTGGCCAATATGTTGGGTAGCCTCCTGCCCAAACTCGGTGGCCCTAAAAGGAAGGCACGACGGCTGTACGACGGCATCGTCCACTCCATGGCCCTCTACGGGGCCCCAGTCTGGTCGGGCGAGATGGCAACCAACCCGTGCATTACCGCACTGGGTTACCGCGCTCAGCGGTGGGTCGCCCTCCACCTCGCCCGGGCCTACAGGACGGCGTCGCATATGGCCACCATGGCCCTGGCCGGTCTTCCCCCGCTGGAGCTCCTTGCACTAATGCACGCCGAGAATTATCGGCGTGTAAAGGGGCTCCGCAATGGGGGGGAGGGGGGACCAGGAACATCTGGCCAGGACCATCGCAGTAGCCAAAGACCAGGCCCGTTAACGCCTCCTCCTCAGATAGAAGGGTCGCCGAAGCCATCCGGCCCTGTCTACAGGAATGGGTAGACAGGGCCCGCGAGAGTTGTCTTTCCGGACAACGCAGGTACTCATCGAACATGGGTGTTTCGGTAATTACCTGCACAGGATTGGTAAGAAGTTTAACTCCCGCTGCCACCACTGTGGTGCCGAGGTGGACTTGGCGCAGCATATCCTGGAGGAATGTTCCTCCAGGAGCGCCGAGTCCTGGTCGGAGTGGTGGGGGCGGACCTCTCCCCTCGGTCCTTATCAGGGCCATGTTTGGGGGAGACAAGGGCTGGTCCGCCGTCACCTCCTTCTGCGACACAGTCGTGTCGCAGAAGGAGGAGGCTGAAAGAGAGAGGAGGGGCGAGATTAGTGTCATTAGATATTAATACTGTTTTAATATTGTTACACGCCCTGCCTGATATACTTCTCAACCGCGAGTCAACTGCCGTTCGCGAGAGTCGATCGGCTCCGGTCAGCTGTTTACTACAGCAACGAAGTGTCAACAGATCAGCTGTTTGTCACAGCAACGAAGTGTCAACGGATCAGCTGTTTGTCACAGCAACGAAGTGTCAACGGATCAGCTGTGTGTCACGGCAACGAAGTGTCAACGCATCAGCTGTTTGTTACGGCAACGAAGTGTCAACAGGAAGTTGGAGAGAGATTGCGCTTGACGGCGGACGTCAAGTCTCTTGACTTCTCTCGACTTCTTAGAACGCTTACTTGTATATAGTTTGAAATAGAGTTCTTCTTTGTTCCGCGAAACCCCGTTTGTTTTCATTTCCGCGTTTCGCGCGCAACATTTTGGGGGCTCGTCCGGGATACGATTGTTCGCGATCCGACAGACCGGGATATGCGATCGAGCCGACGATCTGTCGTGCCCCGTGTTGCCGGGACGCGAGAAGAGTTCGAGATCGGTGATGCGGGCGCGGCAGGGTATGTGGCGGTGGGTGAAAAATGTATTCAATAGTTAGTATGTACTACGTTTAGTAGTTTCAAATATAAAGGATTTATTTGATAATTACACTTGGATGTTTAATAACTACTCCCGAGGTTTGTTAGTAATGTGCGAACCGCGCGTCGGTTGCGTATATCGCGACGAGAGACCGAGGTGTTAAGTCTGACGCAGGTGGTCTTCTCCGCTCTTTTATAATATTGTTTTAGGCTTGTCGGAGGGGGTGCCTGGCGACAAGAACATTACCATATTTGGTAATGGTTTAATGCGTTTGGAATTGAGATCCTAAATGCGGAATGTGCAAGATGGTGCTTATCGCAGCACTTACACATCCGCTTCCTTGTTGTGGCGCAATCGAAACGATTCCTCGAGAAGTGTTTCGAAAGCGCTGATACTATTCGCGATTATAACAGATCGAATGAATTCTAAGATACAAACGCGGCGAGACGCGAGTAAGTGGTTTAGTGCAGTGCTACAGAGAGCTTTCTTGAAAATGTCAATGGCACACTCTTCTGTGAGAACCTGCTCTCAAACTATGACATCGACTCCAGCGGAGAACACCTTAGAGGCTGTGCTGTTGCAGCTGCAGCAGCTGCGTGAGGAGCGGCGGCAGGAGAGTCAGGAGCAGTAGTGTTTCCGCAGCAAGATGGAGGCTTGTCTTCAGAAGCGCGACGTTGTCCTGAACCGTCTAGAGCAGCGACTTTCACAGCTAAGTCTCTTCGAAAATGGCACTCCGTGCGAGAGCGTGAGAGGCGCGATACGCGAATCACGCGTGTTGTGTGCGGAGACGGCGGCGAACGGGGACGGGTGAGCGGTTTCGGTGTTAAAACTTAAGCCGGATATTTTCGACGGGACGGTTCCGTTGCCCGAATTTTTGTCTCAATTTTTATTAATTGCAAATGCAAATCGATGGTCGAAAACGGAAAGGGCAATTGTGTTGGCTTCCTGTCTTCGAGGAAAGGCGCGTTCTGTACTCGATTCGTGCAACGATGGAAACGGTACCCTCACATTCGCGGATCTTAGATCGAAATTAGAGTTGCGTTTCAGCGAGGGCGAGCTCACACAGAATTTTTATTTGCAATTTATCAACCGGAAGCGTTGATAAATTCCGGAAGTTCCGGGAGAGGATTTTGTGTCGGTCGGCGCGGATTTGGAGCGCTTAGCATGAAAATCGTATCCCGAGTGTCCGTTTGAGGTGCGTGAAAAAATCGCCTGTTCTCAATTTGTCGTTGCTTTGTCTGACGGGTTTGTAAAATGCTCTCTTCAAGTGGAGGGGATTAGTTTGCTTCGTCTGGCGATTGAGCGCGCAAAAACGTTAAAGTTAATAGTTAATAAATAATAAATCAACGTAATAAAACGTTAAAGTTAATAGTTAATAAATAATAAATCAATAGTTTTTCGGAAAGAAAAGAAGTAGCGTCGAATTCTCATACTGACCGCAGTCGTGTCGAAATTTTGAAACGGGCACAGGGAGCGGAGAAAAAAATTTTGCGGAGAATAGAAAGGGGAGAGTATGGAAGGTTAAAGAATGTTGGCAGTGTGGTGCTACTGGCCATTTCCGTTCTCAGTGTCCGACGCTGAAAAGATCGGAAAACTAAGTTTTGTCGGATTGATCGGGGCTAGCTCGGCAGAAGAAGCTCGGACCCCGGTTTGCGGTCTCGCTGCTCTCGTGCGTCGTCTCGGAGGGATGGGTATAGTCGCGTGTATATACAGGGTATCCCGCGTAAGATGTGCCAAAAAAATATATAAGTAGAACAGGTAAAAGTGAATAAAAATTGTAGAGGTTATTTTTCAAACAACCACGTAAAATTTCGAGATATTAATAAAAATAGTTGGACAAATTAGAGCGCGCTACGCGACAGGCGGGACATACGGCTCGCCGCGGCAAAGAAAATGAATGAGCGTACACGTACACGTACACACACGGAGCTACTCATTTCTGTATGCCAAATAGCCAACCTCTCTGGCCTATAAGATAGGCCGCGAGCAATCGTCCATTTTTTTCGCCGGCCGCGGCGAGCCGTATGTCCCGCCTGCCGCGTCGCCGCGCTCTAATTTGTCCAACTATTTTTATTAATATCTCGAAATTTTACGTGGTTGTTTGAAAAATGATCTCTACAATTTTTGTTCAGTTTTATCTGTTTTACTTATATTTTTCTTTTGGCACGTCTTACGCGGGACACCCTGTATATACAAAAGTTTGGGACTCAAGGATCGGTCTAAATATGGAAGATTGATTTGCCACGTACGATTGAGGAAAAATTCCGATACGTGCGTTTGATATGCTGGACATATTATCCTCCCACTATCACATTAATATAACTTTATATTATTAAAACAATATTAATTTCTAATAGCACTAAGATATCCGTGTTTGGCTCCTTATAGGCCTTTCAAATATTTCTGTCAATATAATTTCAATTTCTGCGGGTAGTAACATTGCTCAAGTAGTAGTCTGTTAGTTTGCGTAACCTGTTTGACAGTTGTTGATAGTTCCTTATATCTGTGCATGCGTGTATATAATAAACATTTAATAAGCGTAATATTTTTAAATATAAATGCAAAATACATTGAAATAAAATAAACCTGACAAAAAATACGTGAAAACATAAACTGCACAGAACAAGGTAAAAACAGTGGTATTATACATATGCATATATGAATGGATAAATTATTATTGTATGTAACTCGATAATTTTAGTATTTCAGTATTATGATATATCTTAAGAAGTACTTATCATGATGGCATTTTTTCTTCGCACTGGAATACAATTTGGAATCATTGTCAACTGCAGAATGAAACCTGTGCAAGGTGAAAGAAGCATAAAAGCAAGGAAGATAAAAAGAAATAAATAGAGTACAATATATCAGATAAGTTGCTAATATTCTCAAAAATGAAAGTTTATGTATTAGGACCTTAACTTAGTTTCCGCCCAAAAAATACTGAGGAAAAGCATTTATTGTAAAAAATTTATTTAAATTATTTCAATGAAAGTATTTTCCATCACTTTCTACAACTTTTTGCCATCTTTCTGGCAACTGGGCGATACCATCTCGATAAAACGATGTTTGTTTCGAAGCAATCCATTCGTCCACCCATTCTCGCACTTCTTCAACATTTCGGAAGCGTGTACC